AAAGAAGGAAGGAAGGAAGGAAGGAAGGAAGGAAGGAAAGAAAGAAAGAAAGAAAGAAAGAAAGAAAGAAAGAAAGAAAGAAAGAAAGGAAGGAAGGAAGGAAGGAAAAGAAGGAAGGAAGGAAAGAGAAAGAAAGAGAAAGAAGAGAAAAAAAAAGAGAAGAAAGAAGAAAGAAAGAGAGAGAGAGAGAAAGAGAGAGAGAGAAAGAAAGATGTCAAGGGAACTATGTGTTTCAAATGAAGATTTGCAAAGTTCTTCTTGGATTATTTGTGTTAGGAAAATCTGGATTTCAGAATAATGAATGTTAATATACATTTTCATATAACCAAAGCTTAAGTTACACCACAACATTACCATTGAATTGCGGATAGGCCATGCCTCTCTTCCTGACTGTAATCCTCAACCTCAGTATTTTCTTGAGGAATAGGGTGATAACTTGGTTTGTGGGCTCTCCTCCTCAGCATATCAAGTTGAGCATAATAGTAATCAAAATGTCCACACACAGCAGCAAGTTTGGGCCTTCCTATAATTTTTATCTGAAGAAAAGAAGAGGGGATGTTTTTAAAAACCATAATACAAATTTATAATACTTGGCAATATGATAGTGACCATAGCTAAGAAAAGGCACTGAAGGCGTATTTTTGCTGTGTTTCTTCTACACTTGTTTTTCACTGTGAAATAATCTTAGAGTCCCCAAGCCTAGAGTACAAAAAGACCTAAGTACTATAGTATAGCGGTTTACAATTTTGCTAAGATATGGATATGAATCATGCACACTCCAAGATGAGTATGTGAAAAACACTTAGCTAGTGAGTATGCCCAGCCAACCCAAGATCCAAAACTAAACTCAGAATTATTGTTTTCTGTTTTTCATAAATTTGTTTATACCTTACTATATGAGGGAAAAAAAGTATTTGTAAAATTCATACATTTGGGGATTTGCAACATTTTAGTTTCTGATAAATTGACTAAATGCAAAATGGCATCATGGCTTAAAGAAAAGAAGATGCTGAATCAGAGTCATTATTCTAGAGAAAACATAAAAAAAGGTCATATAACAGCTGTCATGGGAATATTACCATCCCAGCTCTTACCACCCATCCCAACCAGAACAGAATGAAAACAGGAGAACCAGAAATGACAGTTTATCTCACAATTAAATAGAGGCCACTAGCTAGAAGACAAGAAACAGATCAAATATAAAAGCCAGTCGAGACCTTCTTGCTAAAGAGCAAAGTGGGGTCAATTTAACCTTAAATGTGGCAACTCTGTCCAGTTTACAGTTAAAAATAAAAAGAGAAAAAAAAGATGAAACTACTGGAACAACCTAGGAACGAATCATTGGGAATATGAATAACAAAAACAATTAAAACCAAAATGTCCTCATGTAGAGAGGTAACATATTATATTCTTTGTTCTTTTTACTGCTACATGGTTCATATATGTTGGATTGGACCATATGAAATTGCATATATTTGACCATCATTAATCTAGAAAAATGGCACCTTCATATAGTTCTATTTACATATTAAATGTATAAAATTTAGTTCATTAATCTAAACACAAATTATATGTTTATTTAAAAAAATTTTTTTTTAATTCTGAGACAGGATCTTGCTCTGTCACCCAACCTGGAGGGCAGTGGTGTGATCATGGCTCATTGCAGCTTCAAACTCCTGGGCTCCAGGGATCCCCTGCCTCATCCTCTCAAGTAACTGGGACTAGAGGAACATGCCACCGCATCCAGCTAATTTTTATTTTA